TTTGCTACTGTGTCAAACTTTGTTATAATCACCTTCCAGTAACAGCTCTGATGAAAATTGAAACTAAGTCTCATGAGATAGAGGAATGAGAAATGCCCTTACTGTTCTCTATGCAATGAATCTGAAAATCCATACCACATATTTTTTATGGCACAGCCCTTTAAAGTTCATTTATGACAAGTAAGTCATTATTTTCTTCTATTTTAAGTAGTCTGTCCTACATGAGATGTACTGTATTAGCATCTGATTTTTCTGCTACTTCTTAACAATCAGTGTGGATATTAAATAGCACACTTTTTAAAGAGTGAGTATTAATGAAAGAGTTAGTGAAAAGATTTAATGAAAGAGTTAGTATTAATGAAAACTTAACTGGAACTAGAAATTAGTTTTCCTGGTAAATGAATAAAAATGAGGACATTAGTACAATTACTAACTATAATATTATCAGTAAATGCATTTAAATGTCAGGCATGGTGGTACACACCTTTAATGCTAGCACTTGGGAAATAGAGGCAGTAGATATCCCTGAATTCAAGGACAGAAAGGGCTACACAGAGAGACCCTGTCTCAAAAAAAGGAGGGGAGGATAGGAGAGAAAGAAAGAGACAGAAAGAGAAAAGAAATCCATTTGAAATATGCATAATGTTTATAAACAGCTTTGTATATTTCATGTATTACAACCTAGTAGAGTAGGCATTAATCTAGGCAGGGAATTCCTAGCTGAGAACCTAGGAAAAGAATAGCAATCCAGTGTTATTTAAATTATTGCAAGCTGCTGTAAAATGCATAGCTCTCATTCTTACTTGTTTTAATATATGTGTGTGTGTGTGTGTGTGTGTATGTATGTATGTGTGTATGTATGTACATGTTCAAATGTATGTGCATGTGTAGGTCGGGATGTATGCGTGTGTACATGTATTTGAAGGCCACAGGACCATATTGAATGTCTTTCTCAATTGTTTCTGCACCTTCGTTTTTTAGAGAGGGTCTCACTGAACCTGGAACTTGCTGACTCAGCTAGCCTGCCTGGCCAGCAAGTCACAGGATTTTCCTGCCTCGACCTCCCCAGCACTGGGACTACAGACTATACCAGGATTTTCACCTGGGTGCTGAGGATCTGAATCCAAGTCCTCACATTTGCATGGCAAAAACGTTACCAACTGAGCCATTCCCATTGGTCCCCCCTCTTTTAATTTTTTTTTAATTTTTTTATTATTTTTTTCTTTTTAGTTACATTTTGTTAACTCTGTGTCCCAGCTGTATCCCGCTCCCTCATTCCCTCCCCAACCCCACCCTCCCTCCCTGGTCTCCTCCCTGCCCCTTTCCAAGTCCACTGATAGGGGAGGACCTCCTCCCCTTTCATCTGACCCTGTTTTATCAGGTATCTTCAGGGCTGGCTGCAAAGTCCTCCTCTCTGGCCTAACAGACTGCTCCTCCCCGGGGGGGGGGGGGTGTCAAACAGCCTGCCCTTGAGATCCTGTTAGAAATAGTCCCTGTTCCCCTTGCTTTGGAAAACTACTTGGTTACTGAGCTACCACGGGCCACATCCGAGCAGAAGTTCTAGGTTATATCCATAGATGGTCCTTGGTTGAGTGTCAGTCTCAGAAAGACCCTGTGCCCAGATATGTTTGGTCCTTGTAGAGCTCCTATCCTTTCCATATCATACTAACTTCTCTTCTTTCATATGATTCCCTGCACTCTGCCGAGGGTTTGGTTATGAGTTTTAGTGTCTGCTTTGAAACACTGCTAGGTAGAGTCTTTCAGATGCCTTTTGTGGTAGACTCCTGTCATACGTTCAATGCACATCCCATTTGTCTTTCTAAATGAGGATTAATCACCTTCGCCTGTGTCCACTTTCTTGATTATCTTCTTTAGGTGTGTAGATTTCATTATGTTTATCATATCTTGTAGGTCTATATAAGCGAGTATATACCAAGTTTGTCTTTCTCCTTCTGGGATACTTCACTCAGAATGATCTTTTCTAGATCCCACCACTTGCCTGCAAATTTCATGATTTCCTCCTTTTTGATTGCTGAGTAGTATTCCATTGTGTAAAAATACCACAATTTCTGTATCCATTCCTCCGTTGATGGACATCTGGGTTGTTTCCAAGTTCTGGCTATTACAAATAAAGCTGCTATGAACATGGTTGAACAAATGTCCTTGTTGTGTACTTGACCAAATTTTGGGTATATACCTAGGAGTGGAATAGCTGGGTCTTGAGGTAGCACTACTCCTAGTTGTCTGAGAAAGCGCCAGATTGACTTCCAAAGTGGTTGAACCAGTTTACATTCCCACCAGCAATGGAGGAGGGTTCCCTTTTCTCCAGAACCTCTCCAGCATGTGCTATCACTTGAGTCTCTCTTAATTTTAAAGAAACTTTTTTTCTAATATGAGCGTGATCATTTCTAATGATCATCATTGTGTTCCCAGTTTCCTTTCAGCCTAGGAAAACTTTCTTTAGCATTCCCTATGCTATAACTCTTTTGATGATGATTTGTTGGATTTATTTATATCAGAAAACATCTTTATTTTATCTTCTTTCTTGAAATTTTCTCCAAATGTAAAATTTTGAATAAGTAGACATTTTAATTCCATCACAAACTGTAATGAGATTATTTCACCATTGATTTTTCTATAAATAATAATTTGTCCTCTTACTACTTTTAAGAATTTTTCACTTTCTTTCATTTCCTGTCATTGTTCCTAGACACACTTTATTTACATAGGCGCTGCCTTGGGTTCACTGGGCTCTTTGGATAAGCAGATAAATATGCTTAGTCAAATTTAAGAACTCATCAGCCATTATTTTTTTCTCTTCTTAATCTCTTTTTGGAATTCAGTCACATGTAGGTTTAAAATTCAATATCTAATCCCACAATTTCCTGCAACTCTGTTGGTATCCATCCCATTCTTTAGCTTGGGTCGTCTGTATGTATTATTCTGTCAAATAGACTTTTATACAGCACCTCTTATGAGATGTCTTTCTCTGAAAAGCTTTTGTCACACCCAGAAGTTGGGTTTCAGGAAAGGTCTACACAGTAGATTTCAATGCATTTCTGGTAACTAAGATTTGTGAATCATAGAATTGTAGTGTTCAACAGGACCTACTTAGCCTTTTGGTTAGTATAAACATGTGTGTGTGTATACACACAAATGTGTGTGTGTGTGTGCGTGTGTGTCTGTGTGTAGGTTTCTTGTTCATGTTACATTTTAGGTATAATAGCTATTCTTGTATGTGCTGTTTTCTTATTTTGTGGAGTGACTTTCGTCACCTAATCAAATCCTCATTATCCTACTCCCTTCAATAGTAAAATATCTCCACATTAAGTATTTCTGGATTGAAATCTTGGTCTACTGATTGAACTCTATCACTAGATATTGAAAAATCATTTTGTTAACATTTTTAATATAGAAAGATATGTGGAAGGAAATGACAGTAACATCATAAAGGTATATAATAAGCAAGAACTTTTGTTTAATGTTGAAAATAAAGGAACTTTTTGTTCCTTAGGTCATTATTTCCAGACAAAAGGCTCTTATCCTCTTTTATTTTAAGCTAAATGAATCTGTGGGAGTTTTTTTAAAGTCTCCAACCTTCTGATGAGATTCCCTATCATTTATTCAGTGTGAACATAATTCCTTTATTCCAGGAAGATAATTAAATAGCTATTTTGCTTCTTTATTCCATGAGTACCACATGTGGTCATTTCAAGGCTTGTCTTTATTGTTCTTTCTCTGGAAAATGTAGTCTCTACCTAGCTCCTGAGATGCATAGTGATTTTGGTGGTTATCCTAGATATGATATAGTGTAAAAATTATGGGTTCTGACATGGTCTTCCATAATGTTAACTCAGTATACTTTTGCTTAAATGATCAATTTAATGTTTGTATTAAAGCTAGACATTTTTCTCTATTAGATAGCAGTTCCAGTAACAATTTAACTCCTTTACCCTTAGCTAAGCTGCTGTAATCTGGTGTGTGCTTCTTTGGTTGAGAACAACTTTTCTTTGCAGACTGTAAAGAATCTCTCTATCTCCCTATCTCTATCTCTGTGTGTGTCTGTCTGTGTGTGTATATATATATGTATGTCTTTCTCTCCATTCTCCTCCCTGTCCACCATGCTGTCCTATATGAACACATACATTTCTCTTTCTAAAATCCTTTTATTTCCAGTGGCTGTTTTCCACTAACCATTCTCTTCAACTTATTTAGGCCACAAACACCAGGTTTTATACTAGAAATTTAACTACCCTGTGACTAACGCTGATCTTCTCTCAAACTAAGAGTCCTGGAAAAACCTGGGAATCTTATCCATAGGTTTTGGTTTTGGTTTTACTTCTTCCAAATGCCAATTCCTTGTCATAATATTCCTATATTTGTTCACTCTGCAATGACATCAAGTAAGTTACACATTTTGTTTTGTCCAAACATTTTAGTTCCTATCCATGAGAGAATCATTTTGGAAGAAGTTTACTCTTAACAATTCATTTTTGCTGTATTTTCTAAAACACCAAATCTTGGTTTTGAGTTCTGTTCACTCCTCTTGGTTGTGTCTGGTTTTTTGTTTTTTTGTTTGTTTGTTTGTTTGTTTGTTTTTTGTCCCTGCCTAGGGCTTTTAGGTGAGCCATTAAGTTGCTTATGTGTAGAGTTCTGTTCAGCAGAGCTATTGGAGGAGAGAAAATAGCAAGCAGCAAAATTAGAGTGACCAGAGATCCACACACTTAAGATGTGAGGAGTCTTTCATGGCCAACAGAACTTTCTAATATAGCATGGATCTAAGGATCGTAGACTGCTAGAGCTCTGGGTCTGAAAAGAAAGCTCAGTGTAAGACAGAGTATACCCATATGTGCCTTTTATTGAGACTGTTTAGGTTCAGTGTGCCCTTGCCTTTTTGACTTAAGAGTACCCTTAGAGTTTTTAATATGTACCCTTTACTCCATCCATTTTCTCAACATTTTCAAGGTTTTCCCACTAAAAAGCATACCTTTTACCCTTAGGAAATTCGCAACATTCATAATGATGAATTAATGGGAATCAGGAGAGAAGAAGAAATGGAAATGTCTGATGATGAAATAGAAGAAACAAAGGAAACAGAGGAATCAGGTAATGATGATTCTGTTTTTTTTTTTAATATAATAAACATTTACTTGCAGTGGCCATATTTTTAAGCCTTTTAACACAAGGTAAAATTAGGCATATATATGTCTACACATATATATGTTTGCATATGTATATGCATATATGTACACATGTATGTATATATGTATGTTTGTGTGTATACGTGTATATACACATAGAGATATATACATACATACATACATACATACATACAAACATATACATCAACCCATAAGTCTAGATACCAGATAGAATAAAATTGATGAGGCTACATTAGTAAACACTGGCTAAATATCAAATCCTGTTTCTATGGGGTTTTTTATGTTCTTTATGTATCTCCTTTTTTATTTTTTTTTATTTATTACAGTTTATTCACCTTGTATCCCAGCTGTAGCCCCCTCCTCATTCCCTCCCAATCCCACCCCCCGATGCCCCTCCCCCAGTCCACTGATAGGGGAAGTCCTCCTCCACTTCCCTCTGACCCTAGCCTCTCAGGTCTCATCAGGACTGGCTGCATTGACTTCCTCTGTGGCCTGGTAAGGCTGCTATCCCCACCTCAGAGAGAGGTGATCAAAGAGCCAGCCACTGATTTCATGTCAGAGACAGTCCCTGTTCCCATTACTAGGGAACCCACTAGTTTCCATTATTTGTCTGCAAATTTCATGATTTCCTTGTTTTCAGTTGCTGAGTAGTATTCCATTGTGTAAATGCATCCATTCCTCAATTGAGGGACATCTGGGTTGTTTCTAGATTCTGACTATTACAAATAAAGCTGCTATGAACATGGTTGAGCAAATATTCATTTTCAATTGAAACACCTAATTTAAATATACACTTTTGTCAAAAAAAACCAAAACAAACAACACAACAGCATACATTTAGGCAGTATTGTTTCATATTTGATTTGGATTTACTAACATTCTCTACTGTGAAAAAGCATGTACATAAATGCTCAATTACTTCTACATTCTACCCAAATGATTAGTGTGTGTGTGTGTGTGTGTGTGTGTGTGTGTGTGTGTGTGTGTATACAATTTAAATGGTAACAAAATACATAGCAAAGAACATAAAGAAAAATACAAAAATTGATTATATAATTTAAGAGAAACTGCTAAGATTTTTCATGGACTGGGAGATCGCTCAGTCAGGTGTGTACCCTGAAAACCTATGTTCAGATCTCTAGTATCCATATAAAAATAAAAAGCTGGGCACAGTGGCACATACATGTGATCTCAGTACTTAGGAGGTAGAGACTAGAGAATCCCTGGAACTTGCTGGCCAGCCAATCTAGCCAAATCAATAAACTCCAAGTTTATCAAGAAACCCTGTTTTGAAATACAAGGTACAGTATTTTGGAGAAAAAAAAAACAAAAAAAAAATACTCGCATTAATTTCTACTTCCACCCATCCATGTACTTGCAAGTCACACACACATGCACACACAGAAACAATACACTATATGTTACTTAGAATAAAAATCATTCTCTGGGTGAAGGCTTTTGTTCTAACCTCATATAGTCAGGAACTGACAGTAAGACAGAAGCTATAGTATTGATACCCAGTAGGCCTATAGGTTACGCTTCTTGAACGATAAGACAACACCTTACCCAACAGTTTCAGCATAAACTATCATGGGTGGAAGAGCATTACAAGAGTGAATACCTGCAACCAGACCAGTTTTTCAGGTAAATCATTGCAAATAATGACTTTAATTATTAGGACTTTAATTATTAGAAGGCACAGTGGAAAAAGCATTGAGCTGGGGAGATGGCTTAATGCATAAGAGCATTTGTTTTGCAAACATGAGGACCTGAGTTCAAATCCCCAAAAACCTAATTAAAAAAAAAAAAAAACAGTATGGTCATGGATGCCTGTAATCCCAGCACTGTGATGGGGTAATGAGGTGGTCACTGAAAAAAAATAAAGCAACATACTTCTCTGTCTTCTGTGTATAAACGTGGCTGTGCACACCCATACACACATGCCATATACCACATACACCTCCACCTTTTAATTAAAAAGGGCAGTATGCCTAAATTTCAAATATCTGATTTCTATTCTCAAATCTGGGAAACACTTTTCTCCCATTGACAATCATCTTCCATTTCATAACAACTAACTTGGAATTTGTGGTATCAGATCAATTCATCCAGTCATTTCATAGCTATTACATGCCAAGCAAGTTGTAAACACTGGAAATATATAAGTAACTTAATGTCTCTGTCATGTGATATGGGGACATATTGAGTGACCAAATTTGCAATTCCAAGTTTCAGTGCTTATATATTGAAATCAGAGGCTCTAGTCTCATATAAGGGTATTAGAATCTTCATTCATTAAACAGAATTCTTACAGAAAGAACACTATCAGGTCATACTTTTTAAAGGAATCCTTTAGCTATTGCAATGAAATTTTCTCTGTTTTTGTAATACACTTGATCCATAAATATACAAACCACTATCTGTACTAGATAATTTATAAGTAGTGCTTAGCATTTCTAGAATAGTGAATTGCTGTAAATAAATGCTGCAAACCTATAGTCAAAAAAAGAAAAGTCTATAATAATAATGGAGCTATGCAACTTATTTAAGTGCTTCACTAAAATATATTATAGCAGATTAATTATGATTCATAGGCTTGCTCCACCTCAGTATTTCCAGTATCATATATACTGTTTGTACATTGTTATAGTGGAATAAATGCAACCTAATTTGAGCATCCACTTGATGGATTGTGGAGTTTGAGGAATCATTAGGGGAAGTGCGGGATATGTGGGAAATTTATATTGAATGCACTTACTATGGATATATAATTGCATTTTGGTTCTGTATCTCTTCTGAGTTAAAAGGTGTATTGGCTACTGCACGGAATCTTAGAGACTGGAAACTCCGTAACATATCATCTTATAGCTATTTTCTTTCCTGTTTCACGTGCCAGGATGCTGCTTTGTCAAATAAAGCTATCTACAATAGACTTAATGGAGCTTACCAAATAGCTTTTCTCCCAGAAGGTTTCAATTCATTTTAATTCAAGGTCTTTTGTTCATTTTTCTTCTCCTCGATCGTATCTAATTCTGTTATCTCACCTCTGTAGTACTTAACTGCAAAAATCCTGCTTTACATGAACCAGCAAGAGTCTCCTTGGTTTTTATCTAAATCGGCTGCATGTTTTAGCTATCACTTGTTTCCAATTAAAAGCTTAAGGGGGTAGACCTCCAAGCTGTTGTTTCTCTCACTGTGCTTCCCAAATTTGAATTCCAGGGGCCTATGATGTATTCCTGGTTATCTTTTACTTCTCAAACAGAGTAAAACTGGTTACTATACTTTGAGTGCCACAGAATTTCTGGGCTCCTAGAGACTCTGTATTAGCCTATTTTTTGTGGTGCAGTACTTGCAATAGAAGAAAGGACTGCTAGGCCAAAAGCCCTCTATTAAATGGGGAAATCACATTGGAGCAAATTGGGTATTGCAAAATTGTTTCAATCTATTTTTAATCATGTCCTCAGTGAGCAGAAGAGATAAGAGGGATTGTTCTCTACATCTCCATTTTGGCTTCTTCAGTTAGATTAGTGGTTATCAGGACTAGTCCACCTAAAATCAATTTTGGTTTCCTTAAGGATACAAACTATCAGTCATGACATATACATTCTACAATGAAGAATGTATTTAATATGTGAAATTTTCTGTGAGATTAGATATTAAATGTTAGCAAACACCATGGAATACTACACAGTAATTAAAAACAAGGAAACCATGAAATTTGCAAGGTCACCCTGAGTGAGGTATCCCACAAGCAGAAAGACAAACATGGTATATACTCACTTATAAGTGGATATTAGACATATAATATAGGATAAACATACTAAAATCTGTACACCTAAAGAAGCTAAGCAAGAAGGAGGACCATGAGTAAGATGCTCAATCCTCATTCAGAAAGCAAAGGGGATGGACATCAGAAGAGGGAGAAAATGGGGAATAGGGCAGGAGCCTACCACTAGACAGCCTCTGAAAGACTCTATCCAGCAGGGTATCAATGCAGATGCTGAGACTCATAGCCAAACTTTGGGCAGAGTGCAGGGAATCTCATGAAAGAAGAGGTAGATAGAAAGACCTGGAGGGGACCAGGACCTCCACAGGAGAGCAACAGAACAAAAATATTCTGGGCCCAGGAGTCTTTTCTGAGAATGATACACCAACCAATGACCATTCATGGAGATAACCTAGAACCCCTGCATATATGTAGCCAATGGCAGCTCAGTGTCCAAGTTGTTTCCCTAGTAATGGAAACAGAGACTGTCTATTGACAAGAACTGAGTGGCTTGCTCTTTGATCACCTCCCCTGGAGGGAGAAACAGACTTACCAGGCCACAGTGGAAGACAATGCAGCCAGTCCTGATGAGACCTGATAGAGTAACATCGGATGGAAAGAGAGGAGGGCCTGCCCTCTCAGTGGACTGGGAGAGGGGCATGGGAGGAGAACAGAGAGGGAGGGTTGGAGTAGGAGGGGGCGAGGGGGTGGCTACAACTGGAATACCAAGTGAATAAACTGTAATAAACAAATAAATAAATTTTAAAGAAAGGAAATTATTTTAGGAAAAGAGAGACCAGCCAGATTCTGTTATAGGAATGGAATTGTGAAATGATGAAGACTGGGGCTAGTGTGATGACACTCAGATGGAGAAAAATGTCAGAAGATGCTAGAGCCATTCATAGAGGAAGAGACTCTAAACACTTTAGTGTAAGGCTGGGATATAGACGAAGAAAAGTAAAGATCATGGAACAGATGAGTATATTCATTCACTAGAGCTGGAATAATGAAGTACTATACAGTGAAAGACTAACACAGCCGAGTTGTCTTCATTTTCTGATGACTGGGAACATAAGGTGGGAGTATCAGCAGTTAGTTCCTTCTGAAAGCCATAGGACATAATCTCCCAGTGTCTGGATGTTTGGCAGCAACCATTGGTATTCTTTGGCATACAGATT